GAGCGGGTCTTACAGATATCGCATTGAAGTTCTTCGGAGAGATGAAAGAAAGCAATATCAAACCAAATGCCAATACCTACAAGTATTTGATCATAACCCTTTGTGGGTCAAAACGGAGGAAGGTAAACGAAGCCATTGCCCTGTTCCAAGAAATGATTCGTTCTGAGTACATCCCTGATAAGGAACTGTTAGAAGCTTATCTTGGTTGTTTATGCAAACTTGGTAGGCTTTCAGAAGCCAAAGAATGCATAGATTACCTCCGTAACATCGGTTTCACAACCCCACTCATCTACTCTATGCATATTCGAGCTCTTTGTCGCGCTGGGAGATTAGACGATGCGTTGACATTACTCGAAGAGGTAGGGGCAGCTGAGAGATCCAAACTAGAAAACTACATCTATGGAAGCCTCATTCATGGACTTCTACAAAGGGGAAGAATGGAGGAGGCATTGGCAAAGATGAACTCAATGAAACAGGTCGGTGTAAATCCAACCGTGCATGTATACACATCATTCATAGTATATTCCTTCAAGGAGAATCAAACAAGAAGAGCTTTGGAAATAGTTGCAAAAATGATGCAGGAGGGCTGTGAACCAACCATTGCTACTTACTCAGCTGTGATTCATGGCTTCATGAACATGGGGAAGTTTGGTGAAGGATGGAAGATCTTCCATTATATCAAGAAAAATGGGCCATTTCCTGATTTTAGAGCTTATTCTATGCTGATTTCTTGTCTCTGTAAAGAAGGAAGATCTGAAGAAGCTCTGCAGATTATATCTGAGATGCTCAGCAGTGGGATTGCTCCCAGTAGTGTTAACTTTAGGACAGTTTTCTTTGGGCTGAATAGGGAAGGGAAGAAAAATTTGACTGGTGATGTACTTGAACAAAAGTTGGGTTTAATTAGAAGAAGGAAGTTTCAGAGATGATCTATTTTTCTAACCATTTGAAAGTGTTCTTTTTGATGTTTTTGATAGATTGCTTAAGAGTATATATTGAGACCAATGAGGGCTCGAGTGAAGAGAATTTTACTACTTTATAYTTATGCCTTATGGTTTGGGCTAATTTTTCATTTAATCCATGTGGTTTCAAGGGTTTGTTGTTTTAGTACAACAAATGTTGGAGTGAATATTTAAAATTCCGACTTCAAAAGGAGGAATAAAGTATCTTTGATTGTTGAGTTATCTTTATATTGGTTTTAGAAGTTTTATTTTGATACTTATAATTTGGACTTAATTTCAATTTGGTCTCATAATTTAGTCAAATCTCATGAATCATAATTTAGTCAAATCTCACGAATTATACAATAAATCTCACGAATTATCCCTATCATTATTGTAATGAATACATAACATGTGACAAGTTTTCCATAATAACAAACTGGTATCTCTTAATCAACATACAATCTACCTCTATTAGGGTTTAGAAATTTTGTTTCTACCTTTTTTAGGATTTATGTCTTTGTAAAAAAATTGAGTAAAATGAATAGATTTTCTAGTGGTAAAAAAGAGGGATGATTTGTGAAGTTTAACCTAACTACATAGTCTAAATTGAAACTAAGCTCAACCTATAAAGATAAAATTCTCTAATCTAATGCCTCTTCACTCTGTAAAAATCTTGTCAAACATATTAATTTTACCACTTATTCAAGTTTAATTTGAATAAAATTATCATTTTAAAGTTAGATTCAATTTATTGAGACAAGATGACTAATAAAAAAATTAACTTTATTTTTAGTAAGGAATACTAATCTTTCATTGGTTCCATGTAAAGTGCAGAGGAAATGAGATTAAAAAAGCATACTCAATTGACATTAACTTCAAAGAAAAAGAAAATCTTTAAATTCAAAATGAAACTGAAAGGGAATGCCAAATAGAGGTCACAAACTGGCAATCTCCCAACTGTTTTTATCTTAAAAAATTATACTATTCCTTTAGAACCACACTTTCCAAGGACGGGTCCTCGCCCCTATTGATTCATAAAATCTGTGCTTTCTTCAACTAGAGATGGTCCAATTTTCCTCAGAACATTCTTTACAAAATAAAGTATAAAATGTCTTCTCATGCAAGTTTTCCTCTGGTAATAATGGTCATACAAAAGCTTCTCCACTTTCTTTTCTCGTGCCATTTGTGAATCTCCAGCTCTGTTCTTTTATATTTGTACATCATGATTATTTCTTCCGAAACAAAACACTTCCTATAACTTAGGATGTCTTCATTGCCTCCGAAACAACACTATCTCCCTTAGTCTGAACAATCTCGAGATGAGACGACAACCACGAGGCAGTACCAAATGATGTAAAGTGAAATGGGAGAAGTATGTATAGCTTCTTGAATTTCCCTCCAATCTTGCAGATCTGATGTGTGGTGGTAACAAACAGGCACCTAGTACATGTTCGGTTCAAGTCGATCAAATTCAGAGATGAAGAATCAAACAAGGGAAAAAAAAATAGACAGAGAGATATGCATACTAAAGTGCGGCTCTAATCCAAGCTTCCACAATTGACATAGTTTCAGACCAGAATTTTGAAAAAGCAATGTAAATCTGATGGACCCCAAATCACGTAGACAGCTAAAGCAGGAAGCGTAACATGCAATATAGTTATATATGAATGGGGCGTGGGCGTATTATTTAGTTAGGGGAGTATATATTTGGAGATAGATTATGAGGAGGGTACGTATTTTTAGTTAGTTATCTTGCTCTTCGCGTGAGTCAAGAGGGAGAGGTGGGGAGCTTTTAACTAAGCTCAAGAAGGTCAAATTCTTTACGTGGCGAGTTTTATTTCGAAGGGTGAACACTTTGCACCGTGTTCAGAGGCACCTCCGTGCTGGGCTCGCAGTGGTACTCTTTGTGTAAACGGATTTGGAGGGTCTCATGGGGCTCATTTTTTTTCCGCCTCTGGTATATTACATGAAAGCTTGGTTTTTCATTAAAAAAGAAACAAATAAATAAATAAACTGGACTTTATCAAAGTTCTAATTGGTTAACCGTATAAACATTACTAAAATTGCATGGTATTCCCAAAGCTTGCAATGTTGGTCTCAATAAATTCCAGTTCATTACTTTATATATGGATGAAGGCACAAAATGAAACTAAATAGACCATGACATCCTTCATTTGAAATGGGTACCTTGACTTCCTTCATTCAATGAATATAACTTCAACTATCACTGTAACTTCTTTCGCTGCTTAGCTCCTGAAGCAAAAAATTTTGGAGTTAATAAGAGAAAGATAAATGTGCCACTGATGACATTTAAGCAGTTTTATTAATTCTAAACTAACAGATTCTGCATAAATACGAGGTTTGCCGAGCAATGCTGCTACAGTTGGTGGCGAACTTGATATGGGAAAAAACGCATTGGTAGCTTACATGCTATCTTACGGCTACCCATACCCAGTTCCACTTCCATTAATCAGACACACTGAACAGGAGAAATTATTACAAAAATTTGGGAGTCTATTTAAAATAATAAGGAGAAATAACTCACCTTTTAATTCAAAACTGTTCCTGCTGTTGCTGCTTTCAGAGAGAGGATTCAGCACTATGAGATCGCAGTTACTTTGCCTTCATAACTCTCCCCTTACCTGTTTCTCATTTCCTCATTTGACATATCTCATTTATAAGAGAATGAGTGTCAGGAGAAATTTGAGAAAAATCTTCAACTGTCGAACAATCAAAGAGAGCAGAATTCAACTTTATAAGAAAACCCTTGATGAATCAAATGGCATGCCATGGAGGATGGTTGTCACGTATTCCCTAGGCCCTCCACAAGTATGCTGCTTATATTATCTTCAATGGTAGAGTTCTCATTCATTAAAACTCTATCTCCAATCTCCTCTTTAGCTAGAGAGCCAATCAGCAATCCATGAGTCATCGCATCCGGTACCCACCCGTTTTCCAACATTGAATCCAGCAACTGACACGCTTCATACTTCCTATCCTCTTTCCATAGCCCATTGATAAGTAAGTTGTAACTTGCGGTATTTACAAGGTCGGTATGTGTAATCAGTTTATAAATTGTATTTGAAATCATGTGCAGCTGAGAATGGTCAGCTATACATAGCAATAAGTTATAAAGTTTTTCTGAATCGGGTAGAAGACCCTCATCAAACATACGGTTGAAAAGGAATATAGAGTCCTTTACTTGATTCATGGCACTAAAACTATGTATGAGAATGCAATATGTCTCCAAATTAAGGCTACAACCCAACACCAGCATCTGGGATAAGACTACTAAGGCAATCTCTGCCTTGTTCAATCTAGACAACTCCTGCATTATAGAAGCATATGTGGCAGTTTTACAAGAAGTACCAGCATAGCATGCCAGCTGTAGCAGCGCTAATGCGTCCCCGATGTGTCCCATGTCACATATTCCCTTAATCAATGTATCAAATAAAGAAGGATGAAGAGAGTATCTATTTTTAGACATGTAGCAAAAAACCTCTGCAGCCTCAAGAGTCCTTTTGGCTTGGCAAAGGCATTCTATAAGCTCAGAGTAACATCGATCATTAAGAATCCAACATCTAGCATGTACCTCATTCACTAACTGTAATGCAGCCTCATACTTCATGGATTTACAGTTTCCGACTATAAGAGCTGCGTATGTGTCTTCGTTTGGAATAAATGATGAGACGACCATTTTACCAAGGAATTCAAAAGCTTTCACAATTCTTGCATTGTTGCACAACCATCCAATAACTATATTCCAAGATTTGCAATCGTCAATATTCATCATAGACATTTTCTCTAGGATACAGTTGGCTAATATGATGTTTTCAGCGTTGCAGCAACCTTCAAGCAAAGCATTGTGAGGAGAAGTGTCAAAAACACATCTATCTTCCACAAACTTTATAGCCTCGTCTGTTTTCCCAAGCTCAAATAAAAGTTTTATAATACTTACAAACACATCATCTCCAGGCGTCAAACCACTTTCAATCATCTCCTCTAGCAGGAATAATGCCTCATCTAATGAAAGATTTTTGCAGAAACTTTGTATTAGAGTACTATATATCAAGGTATTTGGTACAATATTGGAAGCCGTCATCATTCTAAACAACCAACTTCCAACATCTATTCTATCTTCCTTACAAAATAAAGATATTGCACATGAATAAAAGCTCAAATCAAGTTCACAACCAACTTTGTACATTGTACCCAAAACATAAGCAGCTTCATCCACTAGATTTTTTGTAATTAAACCTTTTATGAGAAGCTCAAAGGTTTTACTGTTAGGACTGCATCCTTTCCGGCCCATTCTCCTAAACTGATTCATGGCTGCCTTGATTTTACCAGCATGAAACAATGCGGCTAACAGAAAATTCAATGTGTCAACATTTGGTACAATGTCAGCTTTCACCATCTCTTTGTAAACAAATAACACCTCTTGAATATTTCTACTCTCCTCAATGAAAACAGCTAATACAACATTAAATGTCTCTATCGAAGGATTTAGACCAACCAAGTTTACATGAGGAAGTACCCGAATAGCCTCTCTGATTCTACCATGTCTAACAAAGGCATTAACCAAAGTGACAAGAACTTCTTCAACACCTGAACACCCATCTTTCGCAAGATCTTGACAAGTCCTCTCCATTTCCTCAATGTTTCCATCCAGACCCAGCTTGAGAATGGTCTCATAATATGTTTGGAAAGTGTGGAAAAATCCCTTCTGGATAGCCAAACATTTGAAAATTGCTACCTCTGAGTTCAAGTTCTTGTCATTATCCAAACCTTTGACTGACTTGTTTGAGAAAGACTTATCGCTCAAGAATTGTGTACTTTGTTCAAATTCACATGACCTTGGACTGTTCTGATTGTTTTCCAGGAAAGTCTCGACATGGTTACCACTAATAATCGGAGAAAAGCATGAATTTGGTTTAACCCCTTTGAGAAATTTCTTCGTAAGAGTGAACGGCACGAGCCTTGCAGCCATTCAAATTTATCGTTAATCGAAAAGAGATTACCATCGTGAAACTCCTAAAAGGGGTGAGAGACATGTTAATAGAAATCAATCAAACAGATAGCTAACTAAGTGCAGCACCAAACAGAGATATTATTTATTTATTATTTTTTTTTTATATATCCGTGTGTCCGGACCAGCTTACACACCTCGACTATTCACGGGCCAACCGCCTGACCCTACTACATTTGGTTGACAAGGAAACTCATAGGATATTAAATCCTAGGTAGGTGGCCACCATTGTTTGAACCCGTTCCCTCTAAGTCCTTTGCTATCTACATTGGCCTTCATTGACCACTTGGGCCAATAGAGGTATTATAGTGGACATTTTTCCCCATTCAGTTCACAATTCTAAGTTCCACCATCACATCTATGTTTCTTTTAGCAGCATAACACCCTTTCATCCCACATATTCAAATCATCAACAAGTTGACAATTAAGGAAGTGTTAACAAGTAAAATTTGAGTAATTACAGAGCATCAACTAGTCCCACAAAACATAGAGTTCACTAAACTCCAACAACAAAAATTCAAAATCTAAAAACACATTACATATACATCCAAGCAAAAACAAAATTAGTCCTACCCAGATATTTAATATCGCAAAACGGTTCATAAAGCACAAAAATCTCAATTGTAAAGTAAAAAACCAGAGAAAATTGCAATTTGCAAACTGATAGCTTTAAAAACAAAACCAAAAAGTTTTCCCACTTGACTGAAATTGATTTTAGGCACCCCAAAAAAAAAAGCAGGAAAATTTGCTTTCAACAAACAAAAAGCAGTATCAAATTTAAGATGCCCAACAAATGAAACAGAAGAGAAGAAAACCTTACTCAAGAATTGTGGAGGCGAAGGTGAAGCATGGAGTAAGAAGGAAGCAGAAGGAAACATAAATGGAGACGAGAAATTAGAAAAGGGAAATGCGGGGAAATCGGAAAATCAGAAATAGAGAAATTGGGGGAGGAGGAGGAACGAGAGAGAGACAGCGAAATTAATAAATTAGTAAAAGTAAATTTTGGTTTAATTTAACGATCCGTTCAAACAAAAAGGGTTTTGAATTTAATGGGTTTTTTTCTTTTTTCTTTTTTTTTTGGATTTTTTTGCCACCTTTTTTTTCCCTTCTGGCATGAGGTTTTGGTTCTTAGTCGTCCATGTTTCTCGTTTCCCATTTTTTAGAAATTGTTTTCAAATTTACATAAAAAATTTATAGATAATAAAATCAGTTTGTCGTTTTGGTTTCTAGTCCCTTCAGAATTTTGTCATTTTTTATTTCGAAAATGTACGATAGATGTAAAAAAATAAATACAACATAAACATTTTAAATATTTACTTTGAAATTTTTAATTTCATATTTTAATTTTTTTAATCTAAAATTTTTAAGAACAATAAAAAAAATGTTACTAAATAGGTTTTTGTTTTTTTATTAACCAAAAATCATTATCAAACATAATATCTATTTTGTTTTATTAAAAAATGAGAGAAATAAGAAATAGTAACCACCTTATTATTTCGTAATATAATTAAATTTTAGAAAAGTTAAAATATTTTTTAATGTCATGTTATGGTATTTAATATTATAAAATTAAGATTAAATATATAATTTATTTCTTAATGTTTAAAAAGTTTCCATCGTAATTATGCCAATATTTGTTATTTTGTGGCCAAGCTATGAGTAAAATTAAGGTTACATGTCTATACTCATCAAAATTAAAACATGGAATATTTTACAATTCAATAATAAAGTGTATTTTGATATTTATTATCATTCTATTGGTTGTTTTTTTATATTTTGTGATAATAAATACTTCATTGCAAAAAGAAAATTACTACATAAAGAATGAAATTGAAATTTTTAAACTATTAGAGATTCATCTACTTAATTCATTTGCTCATGTTTTATCCGTAGATTATTTTTTCTATCAACTTTTTTTAATAGATTTTAACTCAATCACGTGTGGTCTACTATTATACTATTAACTATATTTAAAGCTAAAGTTAGTCCAAATTTTTTTTACTTAATCTTCATGATGAGAAAGAGAGAAAAAAAATCTCTTCTAATCCCTCAAACCTTACCATATTTTAAATTCAATACTCCCCAAAAATAAGAATAAGAAATTAACTAAAAACATTATGTGATTTATTTTTTAATAAAAAACATGACTCGGTATATTGACTTTGCCTAACAAGTTATAAAATACTAACCTAAACATAGTTTAACTAGTTCAATCGTCTTCTTCTACTGTCATCTCTACCTTGATAATCTCTAAATTTTATATTTCTTTTTTATTGAGCAGGTATCACACCACTGTGGAATCTACCCCACATGTTGTGTTATCACACCACTGTGGAATCTACCCCACATGTTGTGTTTTGGATCTTTCGAGGACTTTTGGTAGGAAATAAGCTTTCGACCTTGATTTTCCAATCCCCAATTGTCTAAAACGCCAGTAATACACGCAGATTATCCCGTGATATTGTTTTTGCAAAAGAACCTCAACTTGACAGGTATGGAAATATGGACTCCTTTTGACTAGCATGTAGTAAGGATCCAACTCCATTTTCGTTCTTATTTCGTTCTTATTTACTGCACCGTCACATAACATTTGCTAATCATGAGGAGTTTCATTTTCTTCTTCGCCTACCGCTAATAGAATAGCTTCTTCTGGAAAATTCGTTCCCTTACTAATCAAATCAAGCTCATAAACGCGACTCGAAAATAATCAAATAACATGAACTCGGAAAAATAATTATTTAATGTAGGCTTTTCTGTCTATTTATTGCTTCACAGTATGATTGTCAGTAACATCAATCAGAATATTGATATGAAAGAATAGTTTACTGACTACTAGAATTTTAACCAGCTTCAGCAACCCATAGCCATTAATTAAATACTAAAAACTGAAATATGAGCAACCATTGGAAGAGGAGATAGATAAATATTGACTTCTCCTCAGCTAACTATAAGTCTATAACTCATGAAGCCTTTCCCAAGAGCTACACTGCTTCCATGGATTATACCTCCTGCAAACTAAAGCTTCTTCGTAATTTCTTCGTTCACCCGCTCGTAGTAAGTCATCCGCTGGATCGACAAGACAGCATCATTGAAGTTCCGGTTTTTCAATGCTTTCGAGAACGTGTTAGACCAATGGTTTAGTTTTTCTTGCATCTAGATGAACAAGAATAAAAGTAATAAACAAAAAATGTTAGTTAAATGCAGCCCCCTCCTCCGATCTCCCACCGGAAGTTATGTATATATAAAGAAGAAAAATGATAATGACGACGAATGGAACAAGCGTTAAGTAGCACCTGTGACCGAATCTGGTTCAACTCCTGAGACCCAGATGCATCTTCTACCGCTTCCCTGATTTCCATAATCTGCAATCAGGTTCCGAAACTTTATATAAAACAACTTGAAATATAGCACAATCTTGTAGCCGGGGCCATGATCCACAAAATCATCCCATAAGATGCTCAGATAATTGAAAAAGTAAAAATTCCATCTTGATAATGATAGAACCCGAACTAGAAATATATTGAAATATAACAAAATATAACTACAAATAACTACCAAGTAATTCGAGGTACTTGACCCGTCCCTCTCTTGAGTGTTCTTACCTCATTTAGCAACTGTGGTTCAGAAATTGTATCCTCTTCATTGACATCTACACCTTCAAGCTTCAGCTGAAAAGGATAAGCTCATTAGAGGGGAACACTAATTGTAGAATGTAGATGATCTGGATATTAGAAAGAGAGGCTATCACCAAGACGACTCCAAAATCTCTCTTGTACAGATATATGTTTTCTAGATTGCAGATGTCATAAAAATAATGCAAATAAACCAAGATCATATACATTAAATTAGAGGTAAAAATGTATTTCATAAATATAATAAATAAGAAAATAAAATCCAGAATATGAGTGATCGGTTGAGCTTTCTTGTACTTGAGGTCCATGCTACTTCACTTCTATAATGTAAAATCGTAAGTCTTTTTTTTCTCCGGTGAGGACCACACACCCCAAAGTTAGTGTTGGAGGACATCAAACTTCAAAAGTAGGGGAATATATTTCAATGACCTCTAGCATCCGTGGTTTGAACTCAAGCCTGAGAGGTGTTCCCATATTTGAAGTTCTAACCAACGGGGCCGTCCCTTGGGGAGTGCAAATCTTATATGTAATTTTTGGTTTTTTCTGCTAACAGAGTTTAGTCAAGAGCCATAGTAATCAGATTTCAACACTAAACATCACTTGGGACAATGTGTAAGAGAGTAGACCACACAAACAAGCCCTGCCCTCTATCTCTGTAGGAACAATGGAAATTCAACCCTCTTCCAGTGCATCAAAGGGACCTCAAACATGAGACTTCTAACGATACCAAATCGTATAAAATAGGTGCAATCAGTTCTTCCGAAGCATAATTGTTAGGAAGAAGCACGATCAATTCTAATTACCACCACATGTTGGTCCTTCACTTCCATGTATAGTGCAAGAGGGATGGTAACAAGGATACTAATAGAAAAAACTTGACATAAGGAAATTTCTCTGAAATGAATTATTCCAATAATCCAACTTGAATTACAATCACAGGTTCAAGTTTCCAGAGGCAGAAATGAAGAATAGCATGACCATTATAACTCAAATTAGTTTAAAACTTAGTAAGGTAGACAGACATGTACACTTACAATATATATTGCTCTTGATAACGGCTTACTAAGAGTACGGTAAGCATCAATCACACGAGCAGACTGTTCGGCAGCATATTTTCTTTCTCTCTACAAAACACAAGAAAATGAAATTTAGAGCCTAAAAGACTACCAAACTTCACAAAGATGAAATGAGACAGACGTCTGATCTCGAATGAACTAAATCAGGATGTAATTTCTTCTGCCAATCTTTATACTTGCCCTCCAGATTGACATCTCCAATTTCATACTCCTTTTCCCTGGAAAAAGATTTAGGAATTCTAATCATACATCATTTTATTTGGGAATTTTACAACCCACCTACAAGCAATGAGTCAGAGAAGACATCCTACATGTCCTCCCGTTAACGAGGCTGAAGGTTCAAGGTAAGTAACATGAAGGGTTGGTTATACAAATTATATCGAAATAAAAAAAACGACTAGGCCAGGTTTCCTTGGACCTTGAGTACTTGGAGCCTAGAGGTACAATCACATAGAACATGACAGGAATAGAGAGAAGCTTTGGCATAATGCATCAAAAACATTTCATTCGATTTGGTCTATAATATTTTAAAGAAAGGATTATAGAACAAACACATCAAGCCTTTAGATCAAATCTTTCATCCCTTTTCATAATCAGCAGATAAGAGCTTCAAAAGCTCAAATTCCAACTTCTAGTCACTTATCAATACAATAGTAACAGAAATTAGTAGAGAAGCTTGGCAATCGATGCATCAGAAAAATTCCATTCGATTTGGACTAGAATATTTAAAAAAAGAGGATTATAGAACTAACCCATCAAGCCCTTAGTTCAAATCTCTCATTTCTTCCCATAACAGCAGATAATCAAAGCTAACCAAGCTTCAAGAACTCAAATTCCAACTTCTAATCACTTTCCTCCGCTACCAATAGTCAATAAAACAGTAACAGAAATCCAGAACGCCTAAAACAACCCTTTTTTCCATACACTTACAAGCCAAATATCTGAAAGTAATCCAMCGACTGGTCCAGGGGCTGAATGCTCCGACAGGAATCACACACCAGAAAGACCACCGACGCGGGGGGCGCAGCGCCACAATTCCAGCACCTAAGCTTCAGGTCCGGTTCCTCCGCCGACCGGGAGCAGAAAACCCTCGAAGGAAACTTAAGGTTATCGAGAAATTCATTTGCAGTGGATGGGCAGGGTTCAGCGGTGGGAGGAATTTGTGAGCGGGAGATGAAACTTGACGGAGATTGGGCTGATAAAGCTGAATTTGAAAAATTAGGGAAATTAATGGCGGAAGAGAAGAATTTGTTGCTGCGTAGAACGGCGAAAAGTGGCGATCGCAGCTTCGCCTTCGACATTGGAGAAGACTGAAGAAGCTGTCCGATTGATTTGGAATTGGAATCAGCTCAGGGTTTTTTTTTAACCAGCTTTTAGTTTTAACGAAAATTTAAAATTTAAAATTTTGTTATCAAATTTTACAAATTATTTTTTTATTATTATTTTTTAAGAAATGATCGATGGATTGACCAAAATAATATTTTAATAAAACTTTTAAACTGTGAGCTATGTTCATATTGGCTTATTTTAACCAATTATTATTTACCTATTCATTTTTTTTTCATATTTTTTACTTAGTCTTGAACTATAATACAGTTAACTTATATGGGGTTAGACTCCCCAAATTCGTCAGATACTGGTGCAGAGTGTTGTTCTTCGAAATTAAGTGAAAATGTGTCTTCTACTGCTATCTTTTTTCTTCCTCGTTGTGACTCAATTGATTTGGCCGAAGCTTTTGCTATTAAAGAGATTTTGGGACTTTGTCTGTTCCACATTGAGATTGATTCATTGCACCGCTTTCGATTTTGACAGATGATATTGAGGATATTTTGAAAGTGGGAATGTTTCTTTATGATGTTCAACGTTGTTGTAATCTGTCAAGTTTTATTAATTTTTGCTTTACTTTCACGAGGGTAATGACGTTGCATACCAACTAACTAGTGCAGTATTAATAGAGTGTAGCTGGAGAGTTCTTACTTCTTATGGTCTTTGTTAATTCCCTTAATTTATCTGTTCTCTGTTGCTATGAAAAGAAAGAAAGAGAAAGGAAAAACAGGAAAGGAAGAAAAAAGCATAGCCCACCTGAGTTTTAGGGGTAGGGAAAAAATAAAGAGAATACATAGAGATTTCATTAAATGAGTAAAACATAAATACAAATCATAATTGAAAAATAAAATATAATTTAAATTATATCTAATTTAAATAACATAATCTAAAATACCAATCACTAATATGAACATAGTTATATGATGTTCAAATATTCATATGTAAAGTATTATATCCAAAATAAATAAATAATTTTTTTTAAGAAGAATAAATAAATAACATTAATATTGATGTGATATTACGTACAATATGTGTTAAACAAAAACTATATAATACAAAACTTGATGTTTTACAACAAATATTTAATACAAAGAACCAAAATAAATATTTATGCCAAATGAATTAAATGTGAAAGTTACTCCTTATTAACTATATCACACTTTTTACGGTAGATTTTTATAAGCAAGGATATCTTACCGAATATTTTTTTTTTCAAATACATAGGATTTACAGATGTCAATTACTGTTATACTAAGCTTCTAAGCAAGGATATCATATAATGTTATGTTTTATATTTAAAATAAATTTGACAGTAGACATTTTATATTATTACGACATTTATTCAGGAGTATTTTCAAATAATAATGATGATAACAACAATAACTCCGAGGAGGAATAATTTCTGCTTTACTATATTTACAGAGAGAGAACTGAATATGAAGATAAATTTTGTAGAGACCATTTAATAATGTGCTCATTTATTTTCTTGTTGCTTATTTTTCATTTTTATTTCTTATTAATTGTTTTTTATTTTTTTAATAAATATAAATAAAATTCCGTTTCGTAATTGCTTCTCGTATTTTTTTTATTGAAAAAGATAATAGTAAAAAAAGAGAGAGACAAAAAAATTCAGCCACAGTGGAGATTTGTCAATATTTTTACAGGTATAGTAAGATGTTAAAGAAGAAACCTTGTCAAAGCATCAGTTGCCATTTCTGCTTCACCTTTAACGGGATTTCAACTGCATTTCAGCTTCTTCCCTTCTTGAGCCGTATTGGGCTGCCCGGAAAGCACCAGTATCGGTTTTTTCTATTCCTCACAAACCTCTCCGCTGCATCTTCACGGGTATCGTCGATGCCATTAGGCGCGTCGATTGGTTGTTTATCGCGGTCATGTGAATTTTGATTCAAATGTGCATTGTCTATCATTCTGTGTTCGATGGAACTCGACGTCCCGTGGTTAACTTGAGCAGGTCCTGGGGGCGAAATTTTCTGCTCTGGAGATGCTGGAACTATTTTGTTGTGGTTTACTTCCTTGGTTAAAGAATTTGATGATCCTAGGCGCCTGCAAAACAAATGCAAAACATAATTGATTATGCAAAGTTGTCATACCATTAAGATGAATTTCCATTCTTGGGTTTTTTTTACGTTTCTGTGCTTCCTTGAGACACCGAAAGTGGAGAGTATGTTTCGATATACACTACTAATCTTACAGGCCAACTATTTGAAATAAAAAATCTTATCTTAAGTAGGTGGGAATGGAGTTTGAACTTACAACCTAAGTATAGATTTACCATTTGTCTCTTTGACCACGGGATGTTTCTTTTGCAATACTTAAAAACGTCTCTCACCTCACCATAGACCAAGATACTTAAGGAACAAACCCAAAAAGAATAATGTCAAGAAACCAAGATCATTCAGAAATCATTTGGAAGCATTCACCATGATCACATCATAAAAAAGTGAGTAGTTTAGTCAAAACTATTACCTGGAACTATGAGTAGAGCTGGTTCGAGGTGGTTCATCTGAAGCTCTCTCCGTCTCCGCGATTTCCTTCAACAAGCTAGCAGAAAGCTCGGCTTTCAGACTGACATTGCCATCTCGTGAAGTACTCAAGCTTTTTGCAGCATCCTTCTCTAAATCTGGAAACTTTTCATTGCTCAAGCAAGAACCAGCCTTTGCTTCAGTATTGAATCTACATTTCCTCATCATATTAATGACCTCATCTAAAGTTTGCAGTGCCTTTTCCACCTCTGGACTGATTATAGAGATTCTTTGACCCTTAAAATCATATTTTCCTGCAATACTTTCCCCCAAAATGTCATCTTTATCCTGATCTTCCTCTTCATCATCATGCCTACTCTCTTTGCTCTCTTCCTCCTCGATCTCCCCAAAAGCTTTCGTCACGTTAATTTCCACGGCAGGTTCGTCTGCATCGATGCCATGAACCTTCTGGTCTTCTATTGAGTTTTCCTGCCACTGTTCCTGAGAATGATGCACAGCAGTTTGATCGATACGATCACCGAGCTGTTTTTCTTCAAGCACGAGCACCTTATCTTGTTGATTCCTCCGGTAGAGAGCTTCATTTATATGAGTGTACAGTGGATCTTTCAAGGCCTTGATGAAGTCTTCATCAGATTTGAACATAGAAGCCACTACCTGCAATATTGATGACAATTGGATCTTAATTCAGAAATGAGAACCAATATAATAGAGCGATAAGAAGTTCTTGATTATATCAATTCGGAAATGTATCACAAGAGATTAATGTATAACCTTTTGATAGAGTCTGAAACCACTGCCAATGAGTTGCCGCGAGACAAAGTTAATGAGCGATGGAGGGACGAAATCTAGCTTCATATCCATGGTTGCTATTGTCCTGCAAGATTTTCGAATCTAAATCGTGAGAACACAGAATGACAAGGTCGATATATTTTCAAAACAAATTGTTTTCCGATCTCCGGTGCATGACAGCAGATGGATGATAATTCTGATTCTCAAGTACTTATACAACCCAGCATAGACTACAAACTCAGTCTGAGAAACTTCATGCCATAGTCATTTAGAAAAGAGATTCTCAAAATTTTGGCATATCAGACTAATAAATTCTTCACCACATATTAGCTATCTAATGCCATTTTAATTGAAAACTTCAATAACCTTTGATTCTTACCGGAAGTAGCTCCTGTTTTCTGTCACCTTCTGTATAGCAAAGCCTCCCACGACATCGATCCTCACCACGTCGTCTGCGTCTGGAATAGCATGCCTGGTGAATCCATGAGTAGTTATATCAATGCTGTCCAAATCAGATATCTGAAATGGAAAAACAGAAACAAATTATTTGTATTGAGATTTCAATCTAGCCCGAATAAAAATCCAACTTCCAAGTGAGAAAAAGTGCATAATCTTATTCGAATAGTTACCGAGTTCAGAAGAACTACGACAAGATCATCCTGAAAGTACTCAAACAAAAAGTAGTGCACAACGATTTCCCTGGTCGACAGAGGCCATGAAACCTTCACCCTTGCTTTCAAAAAAATTAAAAGTTCAGTATTTCAAAATAGAAATGTGACAGAAAATAAGAAAGTAAAAACATAGTAAAAAGTGCTGATTGATTTGCTAGACAAACCTTACTAATGCGATCTGTTCACCGATCTGGACTTTCTGGAGACATTTGCTGGAGAGAATTTTGAAAGACGGCAGACTAAATTGAGGCCACCTGAGGGAGAACAGTGGAAAGAGGAAACCAGTGACTAAGATTCCTACAAATGTAGTTTAATCAATTCCTTGTTAGAGTTGATTCAATACTAAAATAACTCAATGCTTTGCCTATGGCTGATGCAAGGTAAATTTCTCCATTCCGTACCGGTACGCTACAAATGATACTTTACTCAGATAGCAAACATAGTGATTTAATAAACAAGGGAAATTACAAAGACAATTGGATAGAAATTCAACCACCCAGAAGTCCATACAATGAGAAGAACCAAACAAGGTTGTCTAAACCTCAGAGTATACACCCAATCCTCAAGAATATGACTTAAAAAATATATCTACTTCTTACAAAGAAAATGTTCAAATATATTGCCAAAAAATACCATCTATCTATGTAGTTCTACATTTTCATCACCAAGGGGTGGCATAATTGGTAAAAGCTAGGAATTCCTGGCTATACACTGGGTTTGCTGGATCCTGCATTTGCTAGGGATAAGGGTGAATTAGAGTGCTGAGTCACAGCGAGATGGAGTCTCCTGGGAATAATTTTAGGGATAGTTGCACGTATAGCAATCTGGCTCAAACATAATATTGGTCCTTCAAAACATCTCAACCCCTACAAGTCTATCTGTGATGGACGTCTATCACTTCAATCACTGATAGATGTCTATCAAGTAACATTAGTGACACTTAATGATAGAAGACTATCACATTGACTGACATCTATCAAGTAGTATCAATGATAGACGTCCGCCCTACAAAATTGTCATATTTACAACTTATTCCTTGCACTATATCGAAAAACTATTTACCACCATTTCAATTTCCCATAATCTTATCCTCATTCTATTATGAACTAACATTCTATTGGAGGAAGTTTCCATGTGGATTGGAGGATGGATCACCTCAGGTGGGGTCTCCGATTCCCAGTTATCAAAATTATTGATCAGGACATGAAATAAGACACTTCAATACACAAGAAGGAGAAGATGTTTTTTTTTTTGCAAACTAATACAGGCAATCTGAAATGGATCATATTCGTGTTAGTAGACGCATATTTTTCTAAAATATACACAAGCAAAAAGAAACTGGGAGCGCCAAGACAAGAGATGATGCCCACCATCTTTTATAAAGTTCAGACTCCCAAGAAGTGCACAAACCTGCAAACAAATAAGTTGAAGTTGTGTCCATGATCATCAATCACATTGAGGTTAGAAGTGATTTAACAGATTAAAGTTCTCGGTATAAAATCAACTGTTTGCCAGTAACACTTACAGACATCAACAGGCCCATCTACAAAGCCTTCAACCAGTAATGTATGATATGGAGTGCCCTTCAGTCCTTCACGATACATAACTCGATACTCTTCGTCGTCTTGCTTCATCTGAAAATTGAAGATTTTTAAGTGATCACAAAGCCCAAGTGCTATTCTAACTTAAACATTTTCTGATATAGATGATAAAGAACCAGCCGAAACTATACAACTCATTGAAACTTCAAAACTTATGAATATTGCATTGAAACATAATTTGTCAAAGTTTTGCCGTACAGAGAAGCAACTAAGATCAATCACAATCACGTTATCCCCCAGTATAACCTCTGTGCGGAAAAAACAGAGACAGGACAGAAGAATGTTCCTCTTCCTTTTTTATTTATAATAAAAAACTGAGTTTTCAATAAGATCCAAACTAAAAGAACGGGCTCCAATCAAGCGAGATCTAATCTAAGGCATAATTACAAAAAGCTTTGGACACGGAGGCCCAAAGAGACACATGATATCTAACAAGATCTCAACCCTCCTCCCAGAAACACTCAACCCTTCTAAAAATCTTGTTATTCCTCTCAATCTACAGCCCCTATAAAACAGCTAAAAAAACACGTCCACCACAAAAAAAGGCCCATATTTCTCTTCCTCTTCCATCTTTTTCCAACTTTAACCATTGGGGATATGCGTAAAGTGATGGATGTTGGAGACTTTAGCTATACTAATTTACATGGGATTTTCTTTTCATTAGATTTCTCATCCAAATTTTCCTTTTAATTTTGTTAGATGAAATAATGGCATTTCTCATCCTCCTGAGATTAGATTTGAGAGTGGTTGGAAAGAAAATCAGTTATAGAAAGAAACAAAGAAGATGAAAATTTAGCATAACATACTTTCCATTCTGGATGCACCATCTCAGAAGCTCTGCCGCTATCATTATTATTACTGGAAGCACTCCTCAACATGTCAAGAAAATTTGATACTTCAGCAGTTCTTCTCTCTATCACATTTTCATTACATCCTTTAACACAAAAAGAAGATCAGAAGAACTTCCAGAATGGATGGCTTAACCACCATGATGAGGACATACATAAACTCAAGATATCTAAATTTCCCGACATCATCAGTTCATCACCAACCTTCAGCTTCATGTTTCAAACGACGTAGTTGATTTGTCACAAGAGCGCTAATACTCTCCTCGGTTTTCAGATCAGGAGATGCGAGTGTTTTGTCTAGCCTCTCCCGGTACTGTGTGATTTTTTTCCTTTTCTCCATCTTGCATTTAGATTAGAAAAGGAAATCGTCTACAGCCAGGAGGACTCGGGGAAAACGATGCTACAAATTTAGTTTTCAGAAGCCCTCCTGAATTTTTATAAAACAGATGGTGTTAATAGTTTCAAGAAATTGAAACAGATCGAGGAAAATGCACCATCAGTAGGAACTTCGAAACTGACACCACAAGAAAGTATTAAATCAGGGTCTCTTATTTGCTAAGATGAGTAAATCGTAACAAATAAGAGCCCACCGAAGGAATTACTCAAGCCACTTGACCAAACTCACCATCATCATAAAGCTTTAGTTACATAAGTAATTTATACCAACGAATCAATGAATGAAAGAACTCATGCAGATTGAAAGAAATCATTAACACAGCCAATACAAGAATTATGATTAATATAGAAGCTAATTTCAATGATAATAAGAGACACATCATTTTCTCCCGCGAAAAGAAAGGATTTACACAGTCTTCTCTTCAAAGATCCAAGAAAGTTTCAAGCCCAGGATAACACAAAAATCCAAAGCACAGTGGACACATCATATTTACTGTTAACCATCCAAATTATTGGTTGAAAGCTGAACCAAAAGACAAGAGTGCAAAAGGAAGAGAAAGTACCCAGATGGCAATACAGCAAGAAGACTCCAAACTCCGCACTACTGAAGCTATTTGAGGACTGACCAATCAACCCACATATATGAAACAAAATCCGAACTCCTCCAGAATGATAAGAGGATAAAAATTCCCGACAGAAAATGCAGATCTCAATATGGTATCATAGAAATCACATCGATCATCGTTGATGAGGAGACAACGCAAGCTGATATGGCGTTCGTTTTGCCCTCGGGAATCACGAACTCCAGACCCCTTGGCTCCAAATGGAATCCCCACAGCGACAACACGGGTTTCCAGAAGAAATCGAATCCAGTAAAAAAAAATGGTATAGAGAGAGAGGAATCAGATGAAATCGAAGAAGGGTAGTTTCAGTAGGCTGAGGAAACTCTTCCCTGACGGCAAAAACTAGTTAAAATTGACCATGGCAGCCATACCCGAGGTGGGGTACAAGCAAAAACAGAGTGGTGTGGAGCATATCAAGGAGATGGGTCCTCGAGAAAATGATCCTGCCGCGAGGGGGAAGTAATTAGCAGCCTCCAAAAAAGAAGAAAAGAGGAAGAGAGAGGGAAAAAGCAGTCGCAGTCGGTGATTTTGGCTTTGTAAGATACGGAGCAGACGTCATTGGGCAAATGGGAATGGAGGTCACGTCGTAAGCTTTGTTCTTACGCTGAAAATCTTTATGAATAGTCAACTCAATTCCCTCCTCCATTCAATTTCTCTCCCAAATCCCAAATCCCAAATCCCAAATCCCAATTCCCAATTCCCAATTCCCAATTCCCAGTCATTCATAGATTATCGTCTGCTGACAATGTGAAGCTTTGAAATAATACCCAATGTCACGAATCCAATGCAAATTCTGAAATTTTTATTCTTTTTTGTGAAAAACGGCAAATTGGGAAGATGGTGCTGCAAGAGTTTTATTTGTTTGTTTGTGTATAAATTTCCCCATCTAAATTTTTGGAGTCATTGTAGGAGTGGATAAAACCAAATCAAATCTATATTCCAGACAAGATACAATTTAGGCATCGTAAGAATCCTATGAACTCGGGTTTCTTCCGGAACAAATCCTAAATCAAGCGGGAAATCTTTGTTTAAAATGGAGTTTTGAGTAAATTTATTTTCTCTGATAAGGTTTGAAAATACCTTTTTTAATTATTAGATATACCTAATCCCGTGGAATTATCTGTCATATTGTCCCAACCTTCTAAAATAATTTCGCAATAGATAGGGATGGTTGAAGGGAGAGATAGGACGGTGAATAAGTTTCCTAGCAATCAATCCTTTCCGATCCCGATCCCAAAATGTTGTAATTATTATTATATTTTCAATAAAGTATTACATAACAAAATACACTTTTGATATCTGAATTTAAGGATGCGTTTCTATTTAGTCAATAATTTCAAAAGACTAACAATTTAATCTTTTAACCTTTAAAAAATGGTTCTAAAAGGTTTTTGGAGTCAAACTTCTAATATTATCGTTGCTCACATAATGTTGATGTGGAAGTTTGAGGGACTAATGACATTTACTAGTGTGCTTAGTTTAAATTACAAGAAAAACTCTAAGCATCAAAAAGATCAAAGTCATTCAATCTCGAAAAATGGGCCAAAATATCCAACCCGACAAGTTCCACCACATCCTCTCAAATATGTTTTTTCTTCTCTTTTTTTTTAATTCAAATGTCACATCATTTAAAAGTAACACGTCATCAACATTTTGATATCGTTATTCTTTTCTCTCAAACCTCCACGTCGGTATTACATGAGTGACATTACGAAATTTTAACTCCAAATAACAATAGCCAAATCTGTATTTTATCCAATAAATATATATATATATATATATATATTAAATATTCTTGAAATTTAATTAATTAGTTTATTTAAACACAAAATACTATATATTTTTTTATATGAACGTGAATCTCCTAAGGGATACATCTTTAATTATGAAAAGATAGAAAGAATTACGAAAATAGGGTAAGGAATAAGTATTTTTATATATAGCATTAGGTTTAAACTTTTAAACTTTTGTGACAGTCAAAGCAAGCAGAGCTCAGTAGTAATTGATATATATCTCTAAATAAGAGGTTGTGAGCTCGATTCTCCACTCCCACATGTTATACTAAAAAAAATTAAACGAACAACTTTTGTTATGTTTTTTTTTTTAACAAAAAATAATGACACTTTTATTTATTATAATTTAGATTTGTACAAAATATTATATTTACAACCATAAATACATATTTACATATATCATATACCTAATGAAAATTTCCTTATTTTTTCTCTTTTCTTTACCATTTACAATCTTTCGTTTTGCTCGACTCAATCAATGAAACCAAAATAAATTTATTTAAAAATATATATATATATAAGTAAACCAAGCCATTGTGGGCTCCTAATAAATTTTGCTCCATACGAATAAATGAGAAAATGACACATACCTATTTAATTTGGTGTTTGAAAGGAATATTCATTGGGTATTAATTGTAACTGAAAATGTTGAGAAAACTTGTAGTGTAGTTAGAAAATTTAGTAGCTTAGCAGTAATTGGCATATACCTCCAATCTTGAGGTTGTGAGTTCAAATCCCCTCCCGAACATATTGTACTAAAAAAAGTTATAAAATTTATATGAACATCGTTGTCTTGACGAGAAACGAACCTTAAAAAGATCGCAACAATAAACTACATAAAAACAAGTTATATCTACATCACAGATCGAAAATAATTACGAGAAAAGACTCTTGATCATTAAGAACTAAAAACAAAGGAGCACTCAGAGAAACATTAGAGATAAGAGTGCAGAGAAAATATTGAAGTTTCATTCCAACTTTCTTCTCCCAGCTCCTCCACCCTTGAGAATACTCGAGGGTTTTATAAATAGTACAAAATAAATATTTATTTTCGAATATGGCGAAAGGTTTGAATTTCTACGAGTATCCAAATTTAACTTAAACTCATGTAATGTATCAAAGTCGCACTTGTGTTGTATCGGAAAAAATTGAAAAGTTGCTACATTTTTTCAAATATACATCATGCTTGATTGAAAGGTTAATATTTAACTGTGTGAGATGATGATACATATTTTCTAATGAAAATTGGAGAATTGAATTTATAGTATTAACAATAAAACATCATAAAGAAGGTCGGGTATCCTTGACCCTCAGGAAATCCCTCCTTCTCCACTCTTTAACACCTCTTAGGTAGGGATTCACGCGATTCTAGCAGGTTTGAAAGTGATTTAAGATGGCCAAAATCGCTCATTTTATTAAAATCATTTTTCTTTCTATTGATCATATCTAGTAAATTAAAAAATTAATTTTAAGAAATCTTAAAATCACTTTAAATTAATTTTTAATTTAAAGGTATTGCTTACAATCTTAAAAAATCAATTATACTTAAATCTTTTTTTTAAAAAAATACTCATCTGCTCGTATGCTAGCAAAACATGGATTTAAACGCGTGTTCAGCAAGATCCTTCAAAAAAAAATCACCAAGTTGTTATATTTGTCATTTGCAAATATGGCAAATATTTCTGCTATCCATTCAAAATACCAAATTTAAAACTTTTTAAAATTTAAAAGCAGAGTCATTTATTATTTCATCTACTTTCAACGCAATAATATTGTCGGTCATCTATTTCCATGAGAAACCAAACTTTCTGGTAATATAATAATGATCATAATTGTCCCCATCAAATCAGGAAAAACTCACTTTCTTTTTCTATAAAGTTTCTAACTTTCACACACTATTTTTTATCGATCCGACTCAATGAATAAAACCCCAATTATCTTCTTTTAAGATTAAAGGTTTAATCTTCTGCCCTCATAGTTTATTGAACTACAAGAAAGCGGAAGTTGAGTGGGTATTTAGATCAAGCATCTTTATCAAATGGACTTTAACTAAAAGTACTTAATAGTCCACATGAGTTTAACTCAACAGTAATTGACACCTGTTTACAGCCATGAGGTCGTTAGTTCAAATTCTCCTCCGAGAGAGTAAAAAAAAAAAAAAACTAAAAGCACTTAATAATGGGTGAGTGCCAAAAAACACTTTCAACTTTCAAGGTAAGTCTGAGTCATTAACAAAGGAAAGCAAGTAACCAAAAGAGATGATGCTTTTTTCTCCATTCCAAAAACTGAAAGCTTGGCTGAATATCTTTTTGTAGTGAGTAATATATACACAAGGAATACAGGCATACCTATGATGGGGGCAAAAAATCTTCTACTTTTCCCCAAAGTGCTTTTCTTGCTGTACAGAAGTTCTCTTCTCTTCTTGTCTCCCAAACAGAATAAAGTTGTATAGGAAGTGATGGTGTAAGGGGGAGGATCAACTCCTCTTTTTTCATATATATGGGGAGAGGGGGTGGTAAAACTAACCTTCAAAACCAGTGTACAACTTGCCAGGTTATACTTCTGGAATTCTTTTGTAGAATAAAACATATGCAGCAGACGACTTTACAACATCTTCAGTAACAGGAAAAACCCGCTCATCGTCGAACTCGTACCATTTATCGCCATGCTGCATGGGAAGAATGATCAGCATCAGAATGAAATAAAAATCATATTCAATATGGATGGGGATCGGATTTCATATTGATTTCATCAATTTTGGTACCAGAGACTTGACAGGATAGTCTCTTTTTWTTTTATAAGAAACCGATCATTTCATTGAGAATAATGAAAATAGAAAACATATACATGGGCATACAAAAAACAAAAGCCCTGAAAGAGGAGTCCAACCTAAAGAAAGAGCTTCCAATTGAAAGAATAGATCCGAGCTGATAATTAAAAAAAAAAAAAAAAAAAAAAATTGAGACAGAGCCTCATAAAGAGACATTAAATCTAATGAGATCCCAAACAGACTCCCTATCTCCCTCCACCGCTAAAGATTTTGAGGATAGTCTCCAAAATCATGGCTTGAGTCCATAGAGATCAGATTAAAGTAATAAAATGTCTAAAAAATACATTATTTTTGCATGCTTTTTAATTTTCAGATGAGAAATTGTGCATCAATCACATATTCTACTGTAATTATCAATATAAAACATAAACCCCTTTATTTCAATATATTACTACCTTAAAAGTTCTAAATTTTTTTAAATTAAAACAAAAAGAAACAAAAAGTTCTGAGTTTTAAAGTGAATGGAAAAATATTTGTATATAGCTTCTAACATATAGGAAACCACTTACAAGAACATATGCAGTATAGTGGCCTGCTCCCATTCCTCCATAGTGATTACTAACAGAATATAACATGTATCGGTTGCTGAAATGGCTATTCTTAAAAGCGATGTAATTCGAGAAATCTAGATTGTCTATCGGGAAATCAACAAATGTTTCCAACTTGTTCTTCAAAAATCGGCTATATGAAAACCTTTTGAGATGAATGACCAGAATCTCAGGCAACCTCCAGAGATCCAACTTTTTTCTAGCTTGCTGAGGCTTCTTGCATCTAGGACAATACCTACAAATTCACATGAAAAATGTTTCATCGTGTTCTTTAAGTGTCTATAAATTTATATAACTTGAAAAACTCAGTGAAGATATAGGAACAAAAGCTATGCAAGCAAAGCCAGTAATCAAAAGAACACAATTATTGCTACACCAAGAGAAATGCCACAGACCAGCTTCGAAAAGGTGGAACAAATCTTGCCAAGCAGAAAAGATAAGAAGAAAAACATATTTAAATAAAAGTTAAATTACAAGTTTAGTCCATGAACTTCAAGGTTGTATCTAATGCACCCCCGAACTTTAAGAAGTGTTTTATAAGTCCCTAAGTTTTTTATTTACTCAATTTTGCTAATAGATCCTAATAGATCAGTGAAATTTATATTTTGTACCTAATAACTCTGCGAATTTTTTTTAAGTTAGGCCAAAGATCTATTAGACACAAAATTTAAAGTTTAAGGACCTACTAGAAACAACCCAGAAAGTTCACGGATTAAACTTATAATTTACCCTAAAAGGAATAAATATGAGGGCACACACTAACCACATATCATCAGGTCCTAAAGGCTCCTCCTTCAAGAAAGCTTCAAGGCACTTATACAAATCAACAGACTCCTGGGGTCTCTTTGAAAGCAAAGGCGGTCTGAAAACATCGGGCAATGAACTCATTGGATAAGTATCATATTTTTGAAGCATCGTGTCTGACCACATAACAAGCACATCCAATCTCTGAATTGGCTCGGACATAACCAGAGGCTCATCCAATTTTATTAAGGTACCTTCAGAAGCTCCCCTCGAATGAGCCAAAAAGAATGTGAAATCAGAAGGCAAACTAAAGTTAACGATATTTCCATCATTTGAACTCTCATCAGTATCCAAGTTTGTCGGTCCTGAGGCATCATCCATCTCAAAGTTGTCATTAGCAGAAATACTATCTTCACCATCACAGTTACTCAGCATATCCTCTGCAGGCATTCGTAGCGGATCAAGAAACTTGAGAAACAGCTGGCGAATGTCAGATCCATAACAAAGGTCATGGACTCTTGCTACAAATGGGACTCCAAATGTTTTCGAGCCTGAAATTACCTTTCCTGAATTATCATGCCTGATCACCACACATAAAATTAAAGAAGAAGAGAGATGAAGAAGGGGGTTAAGCAGTTTTAAGATGTGTAAAGCTTGCAGCAGTGAAGAATATTTAAGCAATTCAAATGAAGTTTGCTTCAGGAAGAACAAAAATAGAAGGAAAAAATGACAAGTACATATAAAAATGAAAAGGAGCTTACGTTTCCAACTGCTGATGCACGTAGACAATCAACTGGGATGATTCATCGTCTTTAGGCAACCTATAAGCGACAAGTTTGTCTTCATTCCTAATCAAGGCTAGTGAATCAGATGGATCCTCCAGAATGCGAAAGATGCAATTCTTGTATACCTGCTCATTCAAATTAGTAAGATCAAGCAGATTGATGACACTGCAAAACATGAACACACAAATAACAATATTATGAAAATTCAGTTCATGTAGGTTACATGACCAATGATACATACATCAATTCAAAGAACATCAGAAAGATACCATCATCGTCCCAGGTATGACCCTATAGAATCGGTATTGATAAATATGCACAGTAAGGATCCATGACAGAAAAAAATTCAAAAGCTTTCATCTTCATAGAAGAAGCATTCTGCAAGTTAACATTAATTCAACTGGTTCTTTGTGGGATCACTATCTATTTCCTATCGTTCAAGATTCCTTCATTAAATATGCTCCAAGTTGGAAAGGATCATGAAGAATTTTTTGTGGGAGAGAATCAAGGAGTGTGGACGGTGTTATCTTGTTAGGAGGGAGGTAGAGGGTATTGGAAGGAGTTTTGGAGTATAATCTGGAGTATTTGGTTTGAGGAGATGCAGAGGGTTTGGAAGGAGTTTTGGAGTGTGGCTCACTCCCTTGAGGTGTTTTATATTAAATTTTTTTGTATCATCTGTTATCTTTGATCATTAACAATTGGAGCCTCTGTTATGGACTTGTTTTCGGTGGCCCTTTCATAGATCAAAATTTTGGTGTGTGTATGTGTGTGTATATGCTTGTGGGCTGAAAATTCGAAGAAGCTAAACCAAACTTCTCAATCCCACATGTTTTCCACCTTAGCCTCGCATGCCATCACTATATTGACAGAAAAAATAATACAAATTTGCACATACCACCTCTAATGCAACTTATACGTCAAAAAAAAAAAAAAAAAGTCGTCATATTCTGTTATAGACTAATTTATCAGCATACCTCAGCTACCAACAGGGTCTCATCCTCTCTCAAAGAACAAGCAGTACTTAGGGCATTAATAAGATCTTTCAATCTCCCTGACTTCGGCACTAATATGGTAAACGTACGAGGCATTGTAATCCCATCACATGTGAAGACCATCAGCGTCATACTACGCATTGTTGTTGAGGGAAGTGGCAAAGATAGGTACATAAATGGATCAAACGTAACTGATAACTTATTGCAGGCAGGGCACACCAATGTTGACCGGTACTGACCCTACAATTATAAGATGAAAAAAAAAATCCAGTTGAGCAAAGGGTAGATAGATGAGAAACACTTGTTCAAATCACTAGACTAAAAGAAGTGATGACTTGTTTAAGAGACTTAAAGAAGTATTAACATCGACCATTGAGACAATCAAGTTGCAGGGCAGCAAAGGTCCCAACAAGATAATTGAATGCAACAAGACCTTGGTTGCAAGTAAATTTGAAGCGGAAAATCTAAGATGACGGAATTGAATGAGAAAGAGCTTGGACAAGAATCTCATAAAAATATTTGGCAAAGCCAAAAAGCTCACCTGGCACAAGTCAACTATAATAGAATCATTACGAGCAAGGTGATTCTGCCAATATTCTTCAGCCACTTCTTCGTCTTGGCGACCCTCTGCATCCTTAGCTTCAAAATAAGGCTTGCATTTAACACGATTTAAATCTTCATGCAAGCCATCCAACAAAAAAGCAAGAAATTCCTGCACATTATATATTTTTAGCATGTGTTTATGACACAGACTAAAAGAAGAGGAATATCGACAGTACAAATATGGAAACTAACTTGACTAACCTGGGAATCATGCTGATTATAACCACTGAATTGGGGAGCAAAATTAGCAAGTTTGAGTTTAAACATTCTTGGAGGCACAGACTTCGAGCCAGGGGCCCATAGTTTCCTGAGCAAGTCTCCAAATGCTAAAGCAAGCTCTCCCTACATAAGACATAACAAATTGATTAAAAAGGAGAAAATGATTGAAAAGGAAGTCTCAAAAGACCTATAGGGCCAGTATACATAAAAACTTACTTTCATCCCCAAAGGATTTTCATAATTTATCTCCTTTTGGTAATATCCAAGGAAATAATCAACAAGCTTTGGAGTATGCACCAAGCACTGAACAGCACTGTTCATGAAGCAAGTATTCCCAAGATTCTGTAATCCTGTCAAACCCATAGAACTGGCTACCCTGAAACTGTTTCCACTTGCCAAAGGGTTGGATTCAGTCAAATGAGATTTCACTTTATCTGTAATCCCATTTATGATCATGGGGGACTCTTCAGTCTTCAACTGTTCTTCAGTCAGCTTAGCATCCTTTTCATATCGACCCATCATGTTGTCCAAAACTTCATGAACTTGCAACTCAAGAAGGACCTGTTAGATAAGCAAAAGGACGTTGGGTTTGCATTATGCATATAAAAACCAAACAATGTCTCGTGGAGAATTTTACCAAAATTTATTAATTAAACATTATAAAGTTCCTAAACAGGATTTCAAGAAACATTTACATCGACAAGGGAACTAGATAGTGCTGTAGGAATGAATGATTCACAAGAAGGAATGAATATCAGATGGCATTCAGTTGAAGCAACACTATCCTTGATCAGTGGAAAAAATATCCATTTGCATTTTTTTTTCTTTTTGTAAGAAATAATTGTATTGATGATATGAAATTACAATAGGGGAGGAAAACCAAGCTCCCACCAAGGATGTTACCAAAAAAACTTCTCCACTGGAGAATTCATACTCAAAAGGAGAGAGAATCGAGGAAGCTTCCCAAGGGTCCTTCCCTCTGTGACTAGCTAATAACCCTCTTGCTCCTCTCAAGCCAAATGAAACGTAAAAAAAAAAAAGAAAAAAAGAAAAAGGCTAATAGAATGGAGCCAACAGGTTCCTCTATCATTCTTGAAGAGGTGGCCCACTAATGTGTTGGAGAGATGATTGTTTAGTTCCATGAGGAGCACCACCCCAATTGAGGGTGGAGACTGGAGAGGATAAATGCCTAAAAAATTTCAAGGAAAGGAACAATTGAGGAAAATGTGACTTTGTGTTTCTGAATCCTTATTGCAAAGGGAGACACCATCCTGGGGAGATGGATAAGCAAGGAAGCCACTTCTGCATCTGCATAAGTGTATAGACTTCAGTGACTAAGCCAAAGCAAAAACTTGACCTTTCTCAAGACTAATTCTCCAAGATTTGCATCACTGAATAGCTCTCTTCAGGAAGTGTCATCGAATCAATCACTCTCTTTAAACTTTTCCAAGGCTACAAGTCCATCAATACCTTTATAATCTAGTATCCCAAAATATCTTCATTGCACAAACTTCAAGTCTTGCTTTGGAGGCAACAGGAGTTTTTTCAGTTTGACCCCTTTACAATGATCTTATTCAGCACAAGGATTCAGCAGCATCTCCTCTTTATCAATGCATATGGCAGGACAAATACCCAAAAAATATCAAATTCTTCCCTTGGCAGCTTAACCATGGAAGCATCAATACCCATGTAAAGTCCAAAAGCAGTGCCCGAACATCTTTCATCTCCTGCCGATTTTTGTACAATTACTAGAGTGAAGTAGCGGCCTTTAGTTCTCCCTAACAACCTGAAATCCTTAATTAAGATGATTTTGAGTGGCCACCCATTCAAAATGGAAAAGAAGTGCTTATGGCTCCATTCTTTTGGTTGACTTGGCTACAAAGGAACGATCATATTTTCAACAACTCATCCACATCTTTCGATAGACACATAGATTCTATTTTACTGTTGGTTCCTTCTTGGATTAAATGCTCTCCCATTCTCTAACTATAGTCTCAATTATTTAAGAATACTTGGTTCTTTGATAGAATTCCTTGTATATGGTTTCCTTTGATGTAATATTTCATACCACCAATGAAATATTTGCTTCCTATGAAAAATTGGAAGCCCTCCTCTCCCTCCGAACAGGGGTCCACCATGCAAGATCATTTGACATAAAAGGCTGGTTATGTAACCATAAAATCTCAAATCTAAAGCACGTAAAGTGAAGAATAAAGGCAAAATAAAAGGATAAAAGTGCAATGCTGTTTAAGTAAAGGCTTCACAAGTTCTAACAATTTATTTGCATCCTACATAATAAATAATATACTTTACGTTTCCTATAATACACGAATATTACTTAATTCAATCGATATCCATCTTGGATTAAACAAATATCTTTGACTAATTGGAATGAAAACAATGAAACTAAATCAAGAACAAAACAAATCTATATATGCATAATCCACATCCAGAAACTTCCCTTCTTGACTCTCACTTAGTAGCAAGGTTTGGTATGACATTTGGCAATGAACTCAACAGAACATTGAAAAATCTATTTAGCTCCTATTGCTCGAATAAAGATATACTTGCCTCTTTGACTCGTTGAACAGGAGAATCATCGAGCAAATTGTTCATATTATTTGTGAAAAGTTGATTTGTTTGCCCTGAGAAGTCCCAAATGTGAAACTGCCAATTAGATTAACAGGGTAAATAAATATTAGTACCAGGGTATAAAAGGAAGTTTAAAACGAAACTTGCACTATTACTTGAAAGGTAACTTACCAGTTCAGAGTTAGAATTAAAAATAATGGAAGCCCTCTTATAAAAGTCAGCTACGTTATCCTGAAAATGCAGTCTTCTATCAGATGCATGATTTACAGATCAGAAAGAGAGAGAAAAAAAAGGAATTAGAAATTGAACGCTTTTACTTTTTTGTTAATAAGGAGAGGAAGGACTGCATAAGAAAACTGGAATCTACTCAACAAAGAATCGCACAAGATTCCAGTTACAGAATCTAAGAGCTAATAAATTAAATTAAATTTTGTACATTTTGAATTCCATACCCAAAAAGAAGCCAATGTTTCATTCAGTCTCAAACTTTATAGATGGGTTTGATTAGAAAGGAATGCATTTTGGCAAGGACAAATTTTAAGGTAACTAAACTCTCGAAAGAATTTGCTTGATACTCAACAGATATCTTCACTTGGCTCCACCATTTTGCTTTCTTTTGCAAAGTATGGTTAGAGAGGAAAGTAGAATTAAGAATTTACCTGCATGCTCAATGGATATCTTTACTTGGCTCCACCATTTTGCTTTCTTTTGGAATGTATGGTTGTAGAAGAATAGTAGAATTTTCTAATAGAGTCCTCTGTACTAATCAAATTGATGGGGCTTTATCACCGATTCTTTCTGGTGTTATTTATCAAGGAAATTAGTAACTATTCCTTTGCCTCCATATTTATTGGCTAGATCCTTTTTCTAACCTCCATATTTTCTAGCAAGTGTTCCTTCTCTAACAAAGATTCCATTCCAAATATTTAACACACTGAATCTGTTCCTTTACAGCTTAGAAGATAAAAGATTTCAATCAGAGTTTAAGTAGGTCCATTATCTTTTTTTTTTTTTACTTTTTTTTTCTTAAAAGAAACTAAGTAGGTCCATTTTCAATATTAGTAATTAGTGTTAGAGGCTAGATAGAGAAATCACCTTTCGGTTTATCTTCACAGTTAACAAATTTGTCTCCCATGATACAAAAATCCTAATTTGCAAAGAAAAAACATCCTGTAACGTATCTTCAGCTTTGAAGAGTCGGCCGGCAAAATTTGATGTTGCATTGTAGTCATTATGCCTATAAAATAAACAAGACGCGTCAATACAATACAGAGAACAGAAAATACCAGCTACCAGCCACATTCAATACGAATGTAATGTCCCACTATCATAAACACTCCTCCAAATAAAAGACAGAAAAATCACTATATGAACACCCCTATTTTGGCATGACCTATTTTTGGTGGTTGTATTCTAAGGTTGTTTCTGCGAAAATTTTCCACTCAAGAAAAAATCACGATTACTAAAGAAACAGAAGTTATATATATGAAATCTAGAAACACATCTCTTCACTTCATTATTTGTTTAGTTTGAGATGAAGAACTATTGACATCAAAACTATATCTTTTTACTGTACTCACTTTTATTACTCATACTAGATTCACTATTATATATATTTTTTACGCAAGTCAAGGAGTTCTACTCCTTTTATCTGTTTTTGTCTCATTCCTACCTTTGGGTCGTCACCTCATTCTCGTTTGACTTTCACCGGTTCTTATTTAATAGGGAAACGGCTGACGTGGTGGACCTTATATCCTTGTTAGGGGATGTTGTGCAGGGGGAGAGATCGTTGTGTTTGGGTTCTTGAACCATTTAGGGGGTTTTCCTACTGCTCTTTTACCGTATTTTGGGTGATCCTTCCCCATTTGGTTGTCTTTCGTTCTCCTCATTGTGAAATGTCAAAATTCTAAAGAAGGTCAAATTCTTTGATTGGCAAGTTTTACTTGGGATGGTGAACACCCTAGATCACATGGCAAGGCATTCCTCTTTTATGGTGAGACTGTAGTGGTGTTGTCTCTGCAGGAACGTGGCTGAGAATTTGGATCACATCTTGTGGGGTTCGATTTGCTAGCTTTTTTTGGGACTGCTTTTTCTAGATGTTTGGTGTGTGCTTGGCCAAGAGTAGATATTGCATGTCTTGGAGGAAGTCCTCTTGTTTCCTCCATTCTGGAATGAGGGCCGAATTTTATGACACATTGGGTTCTTTGCAGTTTATTGGGGCCTTGGGTTAGAGAGGAATAATAAAATTTTTAGGGATGGGGAGAGATCTTGGGAGAAGGTGTGGTCTTTGGCTAGGTTTAATGTCTCCACTTGGGTGTCGGTTTCTAAGGACTTTTGTAATTGTCCGTTAGATCACATTATTTTTTATTGGAGCCCTTTTTTGTATAGCTAGTTCGGGGGCTCCCCAAATCGTGGGCTATTTTGGGCTGGTTTTTTGTAACCCTTGGCACGTTCTTTTGTTCTCTTTCATTCTTTTCTCGATGAAAGCTTGTTTTTTCATTAAAAAATAATCATAATAATAATAAAAAAAAATTATAGAATTTCTTATCGCAGACAAATGCTAAATATAATTTTTCACCTTTTTAAGGAAACCTTTCACTCCAATATACAATACCGAGGGGCAAGACAAGGGATCTCCCCCTCCCACACTATCATGGGGTTCCAAAATGCAGAAGACCACTACGTTTGATTGTTTTTTCAACAGAAATGCAGCAAATTATGAATGCAAAATACAGAACTAGGGAGAAGACAAGGGAGGTCCTCTCCCACACTGTCAAAGGTCCCAAGGAAGGTGCAAAAGAAGACCACTAAGAGCTTAGATTAAAGCACCCCAATTGGCACCAATTACTAAAAGAGGATAACTAAAATAATAATACTAATAATAATAAATGTCTACAAAGATCCTTCTTAAACATTTTCTTCCTTTTCATATTATCAACAAAAAGTTTGTTCCTTGTTCACAGAAGAAAAATAATACTTTTCTTGTTCACAAAAGAAAAATAATAAATGTCTATAAAGAGAGCTCCTTTTTAACGCGAAACCATTCGCTCTTTCCCAAAAGATGTCTGTCATTATCAACAAACAAATCCTGAAAAGTTCTATTCATTTCTGGCAAAAGTTTACTTTCTGTAATCCCTTGGCCTGAGGGGATATCTCATCTCCCCATTTTGTACTGCCTCTTTTGATAATGAAAATGTTGTTCCTTAAAAAAAAATTAAAAAAAAAATAAAAAATCTGGCGAAAGTTCACAAGAAGAGCTTTTTCTTTTTCTTTATATCAAGGGTTTTTGGTATTAAGCTCACTAAAAAGTTCAAACTTGAAACCTCTAAGCCAGTATGACCAAGAGACCCCAAGCCCTTGCCAACTGGGCTGCCCACTGGGGCTCACAAAGAAGAGCTTCTATAGTGTTGCTCCACAGGAAGTTCTTCCCTTTGAAGGGTACCTACCATAAGACTCGATCAAGAGTTTCTTTGATCATTCTATGAAGGCAGCATCAGCTATCAAAGATTTTTAGCAACATATGTCACCATTTGAGAATAAACTACCAGTTAAAGAAGATATGATAAGACTGTTCCATTCTCTTATTTGCACAAGATGCATGCGCTAACTAGAAGATATCTGGGTATTAGAATGACACTCAGCAGACCTTCATTGGTATTCATTCCCTCCCAGCAAAGAGACCACATGTAGAAGTTGACCTTTTTTATATATAATCAAGCTTTCATTGAATAAATGAAAGAATACAAAAAGGAAACAAAACCAGGCATACAAAAATTTGCCCACCACAAGCCTAAAGAAAATGGCTCCAATGTAGAATTTGAGCTTATTGGGAATTTTGGAGCTTCTGGTTTCCATATTCGTTTAGAAAACTGGATGGGAAAGATGGTATTTTTTGGAATGGGGTGATTAAAAACCGTGTTGGTAGATAATAACATGGAAGCCTACAGCATCCAGAACCACTTATTTTTCTCCTTTCTGATGACTAATTAATCAGGAATATAGAGGAACGTATATTACAAAGTTTATGCATCATTTAGGTTTCTTCTAGAATTGAAGACTCAAGTGTTCCTATCTTGACAGCACATATAATTCGCTTTAATTTTCTAATTTATAGCCAAAGTGTAGAGTCTTGGACACAAACTTTGAATCTTCAAGCTGCTAAATTTCCAAAACCGAGCAATGCTCCTCCTTCCCATATTTTCTAGACAGCTTTCTCCTCCTTCAGGAATCAACATCACGACATAGCTGAAAAGGCTGTATCTTTTAGTAAAATCTTCACGTTTAGTACAATATATTGAAGAAGAAGATAGCTAATAATATATTGACCATTCTATATTATTACTTGGGGGACTTGAGACATGAAATCGCCAGTACAAAACCTCTCGTAAGTTTTGACCATAAAACGACCCCATCTCCAGAGGCTACAATGAAGGGGCAGTGGTTATAAGTAAGTAGCAAAAGAATCATGCCTCACCGCTTTAGGGCCTGCAACCACATGGCTTCCCCTATCAAGGCAAATTCACGACCAGAAAACCCCTCTTCTGCACCATCATCTTTTATTGAAACTTCTTCTTTCTTCAGCTCCAACAGAATTCCAGAATCATCATTCTCGTCTGATGACACACTGTATAAAACACCTCCTACTTGATCACTGTCATTATGAGCTTCCCGCCACCACCTGAAATCCAATGCAAACGCAAATGTAAGCTACGATAGAGGGGAGAACTGTCTCACTCAACCAGCACCAATTTACATAATCATAACCCAAAAGAACCACTTAGTTCCCAGTGATCAAACTACAAGGATAAGCAACATGCAGAAGTCTCCAATCCCAACTCCTTGATCAAAAACACCCCCGCCCCTCAATCAATCGCCTCAATCAGAAAACAACCCAAAATCAATTAAATCACAAAAATCCCAAATCCATTTTCAGTACCCACCAAGTAAAAACAATAAAAAGAGGAGCAGGGGCAGGACAAGGAATAGAATACCTGTAGGGAACGAAGTAGACCTTGTCTCGCTCATTGTCGTCATGGTCATAGTCGTTAAGCAGGCGGGGGCGCTGGGGGGGTCTGGAGCGGGAAGCGACGTCGAGGTCCCAGAAGTCGTCGTCATTGGGGAAGAGATCGTCCATGGCGAAAAGGGCTAGGGTTTTGGAGGCGAGGGACTTGCAGAGATGGAGAGTGGAGGAGAGAGAGAGGCGAGCGAGGTTAAAGAAGAGGAGCGAGAGAGAGAAACGGGTAGTGTCGGAGAATCGGGTCATATAGCAGGAGAGCAGAGCAGTAGCTCGCCAAATCACAGTAAATGGCGTTGATTCGCCATGGAAGCTGCGTTTATTGGTGCAAAAGCAGAACCAAAACGCCCAAATCTCTCTCTCTTCTGCGTGTGGTTTATATGCATTTCAGGAAACTACGGCTTTTACTTGGTGAGATTGTTATACCTTCACATTCTCTTTTTTCATTCATAAATTATACTACGTGCTGTCTCGTAAATTTATATGGTTGAATTATGCTCTATTTAACTTTGTAATTCTTTAGTTGTATCTAATAAATCGTTTAATTTAATTTATGTATTTTATTGAGTTTAAGAATGCAAGAGTGTGTTCTTTTTTTAGTACAACATATTGACGATATAGTTCAATTATCGTTGAGGTAAGCTAACTTAAATGTATAAAGAAAAAAAGAGTTGTATTCCATAATTTCGTAACCTATTTGAAAACTAAGGTAGTTAACAATTAAATATTTAGTTCAATCTAAAATAATATTAATTTATTTTTTAATATATATGTTATAAATTTTGTATAATTATTATTTCATCATGTTATATAGTGTATGATATTTTACATTTTTTTAAATTTAATTATATCTAAATGGGTTTATAATATGAAAGAGTATATTTATCCACCTTTTTTTTAATGTATGCATTTTACGGTTTCAAATTCAAAATCGAAAAATAATTAGATGTTTTTACTATTTCTACTATCTAGATCACATCATTCGAAAACAATTTTAAAAACTATATATATGCATCCGCTCAATCTTATTTCTACTATATATGTTTCTTATTTTTCAATTTTTGGAACTCACTCATTTTAATTTTTTTCCAAAATATAAATAAAAAATGATTTATCAATTCCAACTTATAAAATGCATGATATATATTAAAAGTTAAATATAACATTAAAAAATTGAATGTTTATTTTAAAATTTTAATTTTCACATAAAAATTTTACCATTCTTAAATGTAAAATTTTAGAAAACAAAAAAAGCTTAACGCCTCTAATTTTTATTACTTTTGAATATGATGGAAATAAAATGAAAAATGAAAAGTTGGTCTTATTCAAAATCCCAATTATGAAACCTCTTCCCTCTCACTTCACACATTGAAACGCACCGTTCTTATAGAGAGAGGGGCGCTTTCACATCTTCTTAACCGGCAAATGTCGGGAGAGGAAAGGTTCCTTTTTTTAGGGTACCTCGGGGTGGGGCATGTAGCTCAAAGGATTAGAGCATAATTGGTTACCAAACACTGTTGTCTTTTTTGTCATAATAAAAATAGAAACAAGAAAAGACGAAAAAACAATAAAAGAAAAAGAAGAAACATATGTCATATTTGGTAATATTATCGTTTATGAATGGCTTATTGTACACAAAATTGAAAGGTTTGAACCCCATTAGAAACAAAATTCATTTTTTTAATAATAGGTTTATTAAATTTAAAATAATTAATAGAACGTAAGTTTATCTAATTAGTCTATAAATTTTATAAAGTATTTAATATTTTCTTAAATTTTCAATTTAATATCTTATATTTATAAATTTTAAAAATGTCCGATAAATCATGAATTAAACTTGTAATTATATTTCTAGTAGGTCCTAATTTAACATTTTATACCATTCATAAACTTATCATACACCAAATTGTAAAGTAAATGTCCTATTATAAGAAAAAATCAATTTTCGGTACAATAAGTTAATGGATATTAAAAAGCATTGAATAGATTATCCCAGACTTATTAAAAATGAAATTAGAAGTTTAATATTATTCTTTCTTTTTTTACATCCGTGAGTGTTTGAGCTAGCTTGCATGCATCTTGATTAATTTCATATGACAACCGACCCTACTACACATAGAAAATTAATTCCTAAATAGATTCGTCATCATGAGATTTAAAAAAAAAATCAATGATTAAGCACAAAATTTAAAATCTAATGACCATTTAAATTTTGTTGGGTACAAAATTGAATGGCCTATTACAGACAAACTAAAATTGTTACATAACCTTATATAAAATATCCTTACAATCTATTGTTTTATTTTTTATGTTTGTATCCTTCCAAAAGTTTAACCCATCAGTTTTTGTTTAAGAAAACATTTAACCTGTTTTTAAAGTTACCAACACCAATATTTGTAAATAACAACACGATAATCTTTTCTCTTATGACATACGTGATAAGTTGTTATTCGATGATATTTTAAGATGTAACCCTAATTTTTGTTTATTAGTCGTGATAGATATGCTCCAATCATTTTGTTGGGAAAGTAAAAATACATATAATAAAAAATATTTTGGTAATTTTTTTTTCTCAAACTCTCTAGTTACATGTATAGCTAACATAAGTATAGTTCAAAAATTTTCATCTCACATGTTAATGCCAAAATTCACCTAAGTCCCGTGGCGTGACCTGTTAGGTCGGCGCGAGCTGTATGAAGCAAGCTTCTTTGAGGGACCTGCAGGAATAGGTAAGCTGCTCCGACGCTCAAGTTAGTTTTGTATCCGAGCTTAGACAGATTTTCACACCTAGTTTGATGGGGTGGTGGTGTATTTATAGTAATCAAATGGATAGCTACCTGTCCCATTTAGGTATTTGAAGGTTGTTCTAACGAGTGCCTCACTATAGACCGATGGTCCGTATTGGTTCCTAGATTTACCCCTACCTTTGGATATCTAAATAGCATTCGACTGCATCTAAGTATCCTAGGCCGACCTATTAGGTAGGCTTGATGATTCGTACCATAACATATCGGTTTGCAGACAATTAATTCTCAACACCACATGTTTTACTTAAAAAGAAAGTAGGACGTAAGAATTTGAGTTTGATTTGAATGGGACATTTTTAAACTAACTTAAAATGTAAAATAAAACTTTTGATATTCACGAGCCCGTTTGGGCCTTTGTCGCCACCAAGATTTATCAGGAAGGCTCATCACCCGTGGGCCTTGCCTATCCATGAGGCCTGGCTTAGGAGGCCCAATTCCCAAGCGAGGCCTATACAGAATATTAATACTTGTTTAATGACTTCCTTCATAGAATATTCCTAATATGTTTTATTTAATGAATCCAAATTCTTTATTATTTTCTTTAATTTCAAATTTATTACCGTTTTAATTTTATTAGTTGACAGTTTTTTTAGTTCGACCAAAATATGGAACCTAGGGATTTGACCCTCCAATGAGATTACGTACCTTCACGAGCTAGTTCATGTACCGTCCATTTGTTCCACTAAAGTTAGATTTGAGTTTTGACTTGGATAAAAATTGTCCAGGTCCGTTACATGAATTTTGAAAATTTAAAATCCATGCATTTATTGTAGGTGAGTAAAAAAATTTCTAGGAACATGAGATTTTTTTACTTCTAGAAGAGACTTTTTCTCAATATTTTATTAGAAGATATAGTTAAAAAGTACGCATATGAGAGAGTTGAAAATCGTGATTTTGCTTTCTTTCTAATCATAGAGTCTCTCTTCATATATATTTATTATCCTCAGACATTAAATCTCATGTTTTTAGATGGACCATTATAGCGTATATATGTAGTTGTCCCTTAATTCTAAAAATAATGTACATTTTTAACACCATAGTGTCACCGACTTATTATAATTATTATTATTTTAAAGCAACAACTCAAATTTACAATATCATGCTTTACAAAAATTTTATTTTATAGATCTATCCTCATGTTTTGATATTTGAAAAAAGGAAAGAAAAAAATTAATGTTAAAGTGCTTTTACCTTCACCACTTTTGGTGATTCAAAGTTGTTAAAACGGTGGCGTTTTGGTTGGGGTAATGGTGTGACAAAAAAGAGACTTGTGTCCCCAATTTGAAAGGCAACACTAACTCTTTGGATTCCTCTCTAAACCCATTCGAGGAACCACAAAAATATTCAAATATTCAAAAGTGAAACATTAAAGTTTGTGTGTCACACAACCATACCCATACCCACCATTATAATGGTTGGATTCAAAACCTTTCAAACACCAAACAATCGGGTACAAACCATTTCATTTCATTATCGGTGGGTTCGAAAATAAATACAATACTCAATAAGTATACTATTATTCTTACTGCGCCAATCATCACTCGACCATAAGTGATAGATTTTGAAAGTGGGCTAGATGAATATTCCATTGAGCTGAAGGTTATGGGATGAAGATATTGAATCATATATATGCAACACGTCTTTATATTATTTTGATAATGTACTATATAAACTTGCCTAAAATCTCTAAATTCTTATACTACATTAAAATACCACCGACTTAAAAGTTCTTTTTTTTTTTTGACATTGCGTGGTAAATAAAGACAAAAGAACAAAAAGGAAGTAAAAAAAAAAAAAAAATTAACACGCCCTTGATAAAATCCATGAGAAAATGCCTTTTCTACAACGGGTCTAGCAACTTCGTGGGCTACTAAATCCCTTAATGCTTTCGACATCTCAATGATTTCCTTTACCAACATATCTTGGTTGCTGTGTAATCTTATCTATTTGACTATAGTAGGGCGTAGATTGTTAGGGGTCAGTTTCAATGATCAGATTTGTTAAGCTCGTCGCAATGTTGTTGTTAAACTTTCTCTGATGGTCATTACTTCTGTTTCATCTAGCTACTTCTAACATCCTTGAGACGATGTTTGAATCTAAACGACAGTTGTTGTTAAACTTTCTCTGAAGGTTATTGCTTATGTTTCATCCACTTCTAACACCCTTGAGACGGTTTTTGAATATAAAAACACGAGTTTAAGTGACGATGAAAATGAAGGTTGACATTGAAGAAATAAAATTAAAAATGATGAATTAAGACCACAACCAAAAAATATCTCCGAGGGGGACTCTTCTACCTATTATGCCCTGGCATTGGCTGGCAATAGCCTTTGGTCCCCCTAGTTTGTCTCCCCTAATATTT